CTGGATTCAAACCCGCCACCTTAGGTGTATGTGGCTGGCGCCTTAGCCGCTTGAGCCACAGACGCTGAGCCAGGCAATGTTAAAATTAATGAACATATTTAACATGAAGCTCTCAAGGGACACAGTAGAAATAAAAAACATACCAGAAGTACTAAAGGGTTCATGGCCATCAGAGGAATTCTGGTCTGTCCCTCTTACATAAAATGTAAGCTGAGTTGGTTTCAAAGACTTGAAGCCTGGCTTCTGGAGGTTTTCTAAGTAGACACTTAATCTCTTGAGAGAATTTTCATTGATTTCCTGGAAAAATATATGAAGGGTATTTACACACAAAATAGAACAAGAAAACATGAAAAACTATATCTGGCTTTTCCAACACATTATTGTGAGTATTAAATTGAGAGTATTAAAAATCTTAGGATTCCATAGTTCTTTGGCAAATGATAAAACTGGATCCATTGGCTTGGCACCTGTAACTCAGTGACTAGGACACCAGCCACATACACTGGGGCTGGCAGGTTCGAACCTGACCCAGGCCTGCTAAACAACGACAACTGCAACTAAAAAATAGCCAGGCATTGTGATAGGCCTGTAGTCCCAGCTACCTGGGAGGCTGAGGTAAGAGAATCGCTAAAGTCCAAGAGTTTGAGGTTGTTGTGAGCTGTGATGCCACAGTACTCTATCAAGGGTGACACAGTGAGACTCTGTCTCAAACAAATACCTGAATCCAAATTTACAATGAGTAACAAAATGAACTACACATAAATGAGCTGCAAAAAAATGTAATTACATAAGTATTAGGAAAAAAAGTTTAATTCCTTTATAACTTAGTTGTGCAAAATGCCTATGACTAAATATTCCAAAGCAATAAATGATTGATACAGCCATCTGGGTGGTTGCTCAGTGGTTAGAGTGTTGGCCCTATAGACCAGTGGCGGCAAGTTGAAACCTTGCCTGGGCCTATTTAATAAAAAGAAAAAGAAAAAAGAAAAAGAAAGTAATTATGAAATTGTATTTATTATATTCAAAGGCATAAAATCTCTATTATAGACCAGAGATCTATTTTTTATGTAAAAAATTAAAAGTACTTTAAATAAACACATAAAACCCACACACACACAGAAAGTCAAAAGACAACCGAGAGAAAATATTTACAACTTATTTTACAGCAAAGGGCTAATCTATTTAGAAATTGTCTCTTAACTGCACATCCATAGGAAAGTGTTTGAATAAATTATGGTACACTCAGTTAGTGGAGTACTACAAAGCCAAAAAGGAAAAAAAAAGAAGAAAAAGAATGTTATGTAGAAGACATATATGGATTAACATGTAGTGATTTCAAAGATATATTAAATGAAGAAGGAAAATGTCCTTTAGTGAAGAACAGCCTCTGTGAAGAATGGCATAAATAATGACCGTGTTTCCTATCACTCTAGGTCTCTTTGGTTTTTTGTTGGTTTGTTTTTTGAGACAGAGTCTTGCTCTGTTGTTTGGGCTACAATGCAGTGGTGTCATCACAGCTCACTGCAACCTCAAACTCCTGGGCTCAAGTTATCCTCCCACCTTGGGTTCCTAAAGTCCTATGATCACAGCCCTGAGCTGTGGTGCCCAGCCTCCTTCTAGGTCTCTTTTCAGGCATACCTTGTGTGATTTGAAATTAGAAATAATCACTGTTTAGGATCAGTAATCAAGGTAGTAAAAAAAAGAAAAAATAACCACTGCTTACTTTTGTTTGTTTACTTTGTTATATGAGGTTCTTTTTTGGGGG